TCTCAAAGACCACTATCATCAGCATCACCACCGTCCATCGACATTATCATCACCACCATCATTATCACCAGCATCATCACCATCACCATCGTCATCACCTTCACCATCATCACCAACACCATCCTTATCACCAGCATCATCACCAGCATCATCGTCATCACCTTCACCAACATCACCATCATCACCACCACCATCCATCACCACCACCATCACTATCATCACCACCACATCCTCACCATCATCATCTTCACCATTATCATCACCATCATCATTACCATCATCATCATGATCGCCATCATCATCACCGCCATTACTATCCCACAGCCATGGTGAAGACTCACTGCTTTCCAGAAGTCTCTGCCCATCCCTCCCTTTCACTAAGGGTGTATTCACCTTCCAAGGTCCCAGATTAATGTAGAAATCTCAATTTTTGATACCCCCCCTTTATGAGGGCCTCTTATTTTTCTCCTAATTATTAATCCCCCAAATTCTGGATTCCTATTACCAACCTTGGCCACCAGGGCAGCCCCAGCCTCTGTTTCTTATTAATGTTCACTGTTTTGGTTTCAGTTCACTGTTGTTTCATGTGTATAAATAATATAACTTCCATGGTTTCATTTACTCCCTTGTGACCTCAGCAATGCATATAAATTGCTTATTGTAATTAATCTGGGATCTGATTGAGTGGTAGTAGACAAACTTTTTAGGATATTCATTCTGCCATATAGACCATTCTCTAGGAAGCAGAAATCCTCCAACTCTGTGACTTCATCTGTGGAAAATGCGGACAATGATCCTGGTTTGTGAGGATTCTTGCAAAGAAAGTGTAGGAGGAATGCACTTAGCATAGTGCTTCACATGGGTAGAGGGTGCACACAGCACCCTTAATGATACAGGAGGTGAGGCAAAAGCACTCACTAGAACACAATGCACTATTTGCTCCTTCAGCAAACAAATATTGCTCGTGTAGGTCATCGTTGTACATTGTATGGGTTTGGACAAATGTATGATGACCTACATCCAACATTAGAGCACGATACCAAGTGGTTTCACTGCCCTAAAAGTCCTCTGTGTTCCCCTTGTTCATTCCTATCTCCCCCCAACTCCCTGGTAACCACTGATCATTTTACCATCTCTGGCAGTTCATCTTTTCCAGAAGGACGTAGAGTTAGAATCACTCATTATGTAGCCTTTTCTGATTGGTTTCTTTTACCTAGTAATACACGTTTAAGGTTCCCTTGTGTCTTTTTGAGGCTGATAACTCATTTCTGTTTATCGCTGATAATAGTATTCCCTTGTCTGGATTCCATTGTCTGGACATCTTGGCTACGTGCAAATTTTTGCAAGTATGAAGAAAGCTGCTGTAAACACTGGTGGAAGGTTTTTGGGTGGACACGAGTTTTCACTTATTTGGGTAAGTTCGAATAACTTTGGAATCCTATTATTTTTAATTTTTCTATGCTGTTTTGTTTTAACGTGTCTTTGTTTCTTTAAAGATTTATGTATTTATTTAAAAGAATTTATTTATTTGACAGAGAGTGAGAGAAGGAGAGAGAGCACAAGTGAGTGGAGCAGCAGAGGGAGAGGGGGAAGCAGGCTCCCTGCTGAGCAGGGAGGAGCCCGATGTGGGGCTCGATTCCAGGACCCTGAGATCATGACCTGAGCCGAAGGCAGAGGCTTAACCCACTGAGCCACCCAGGTGCCCCTATTTATTTATTTTAAAGGGAAAGAGAGAGCATGAGCAGGGGGAAGGGCAGAGGGGATCCGAGAGAGGGAATCCTCAAGCAGACTCCCCAATCATCGAAGAGCCTGACATGGGCCTTGATCTCAGGACCCTAAGATCATGACCCGAGTCGAAACCAAGAGTCAGATCCTCAACTGACTGAGCCACCCAGGCGCCCCTTGATGTGTCTTTTGAAAGTGGCATGTAAGTGGAATTTTTAAAGCTGGTCTAAGGGATCAGTAAGGAAGCAAATACAGCAGAATATTAACTAAAGAATCTAGGGAGGAGTGCATGCATCTATATGGTACAATTCTTTCTGTTTGAAAATTTTTATAGTAAAATGTTGAGACAAAACGAAACAAAACAAACCCAGCCCCTCTGGAGAGTGCGTGCGTGCGTGCGTGCGTGCGTGCGTGTACCTGAAAACCAGCGGGATGTGCTGTACTTCGGATCACCAGCAGAGGGCGTGCACGTGCCCAGTTTCCAAGCCAGCCCTTTCTCTTGGAACATTCGTTTATAATGATGCAAAATTCGGAGTTAGAGCATGTCTCTCCACTCTGGGCCCGGGGGTTCCAGGCATATAAATGCATTCTTGACGGCGGCAGCGGCCTCCGAACGCTATCTCCCTTCGGCCTGTGGCCCCCACCCTGCCATCCTTTGCCAGGATCTACTTTACCTGCGTGTGTCCCACTTCATCTCCCGCCGGCTGCGCGGTCTCCCCGGTCATCAGTGCCCTCCTCGTGGTGTGGCTTGCTCTGCCTGGCCACCAATGTCCTTAATGGGATTGTCCTGGGAGGTAATGGGACCAGGTGCCCGCTGCATTCCGCCCGTTATGGGTTGAATTGTGTTCCCCCAGAATGACATGCTGGAGTCCTGACCTCCAGTACCTCAGACATGACCTTATTTGGAAATAAGGTGATGTAGATGTAATTAGTTAAGATAAGGTCAGTGGGGAGGGCCCTAATCCAGTATGGCCGGTTTCCTTATAAAAGGCTAATTTGGACAAAGGCTCGTCCAGAGAGAGTCATATCGAGACAAAGGCATAGGTCCATGAACAAGCCAAGGAATCCTAAAAGTCGCCAGTGCCAGTGAACTCTGGGAAGCTGCGGAGCCCTCCGAGGGAACCAGCCCTGCCAGCACCTTGGTCTCTGGCGTCCAGACTGTGACGAAGTAGATGTCGGCCGCTTATGCCCCGCAGTCTGCGGTACTTTGGTATGGCAGCCCCAGGAAAGGAACACAGCCCAGCCTGCGCCTCCAGAGCGGGAGTACCGTCACGTCAATCACTCGGGAGTACTCGCTCCATTCGGGTGGCCAGCCGCGGAGGCGACCGGTGAGTCACGCGGGGTGCATGGGATTTGGATGGATCTGGAGGTCTCCTCCCCCTGCGGGGGGAGCAAAGTCAGCGTGGGTCTGGCGGAACTGCCCTGCTGCCTAACCGGGACGTCCGAGGGGCGAGCTGAGCCCGCAGACCCGTCATTCCTTTGCCTGCCGAGGAGGCAAACACCTCGGCTCCGCGGACTTGTGAACAAGCCCATCCCCACGAGCCGCTAGTGAGATCGGCATCCATTAGGCCCAATAAATGGACTTGCGTGTTCCCCACTCCCTGGCGTAAGATGGCATCTCGTATTTCCGCGGCAGCACCTGCAGCGGCCCCGCCCCCGCCCCGCCTCCCCCAGGGGTGGCAGCATGACCAGGCTAACTCTGGGCTTGAACTACGTCCCCGTGGGGCCATTCGCTCAAATGCTTTGCCACTCTGGGAGCCCGTGTAAGCCTGGATCGCCCGGGAGACGGTGACTCGTGTCTTCAAAGTCAGCCTCTTTCTGGCAGCCGCCAGCTGCTGGAGCCCTCGGAAGCACGCTCCCTAGACGCGGCTACTCCGTGGCCCACAGCGCCTCAGGAGCTCTCCTGGTTCAAGTCCACGGGATTCTCCCCTTCCGCTTCACCCCGTGCGCCCCCCAGTCTGTCTGCAAGCTGCGCGGCGCAGATAACGTGGCTGTGCGCGTGCCCGGCTAGAGGATCCTGCCCCAGGGACCCAGCCAACGCGCAGGCTCAGTGCCCATCCGCCGCTGAAGGGCTTGGAGACCGGGCGGGACAAGTCGCCTTTAGACAAGAGGGGGATGAGCACAGCGTCAGCTGCCATCGGTGTACCTCGCTCTATCTCGGCTAACGGAGAAGCGCCGCCGAGAGCTGCCCCGTGTCACCTGTCCTGCGCACATGCCCCTCCCCCCAAGAAACCTACATGGAGAAGGAAGAGGAAGTCGGTAGGATCCACTCATGCTGGGCCTGGGAGCTAGAGACCCCATTACGGCTAGACACAGTTCCCCTGCCCAGTATACAAGGCCTCCCTTCACCTCCCCTCTGGCAAGTTCCAAGTCACCCTTCAAGTCCGGGGCAGACAGCTAGTTGTCCCCCAACAACTCTTCTTCCACTCTTTACACCATTCTAGAAGCCCTGCCCGGTCACACGGTTAGCCAGCTCAGTGTCCCAGCCTCCTGGGCGGCTGGACGTGGTTACGCGACCGGTTTCTGGCCAACAGGGGGTGAATGGAGGTGAAACGTCCCCTTTCTGCAGCTCGTCCTTGAGGGCAAGGAGCATGCATGGCCCCCTCTGTTCCCCTCTCTCCTCCCTGCTGGCCCAGTGACAGGGTGGTGGGGCCCGGAGCAGCGTCTCTGGACCACGGGATGGGAGACGGCAGGGCAGCCCGGCTCGGACGTCTCCAGGAGCAGGAGGTAAATGGCTTTGCTGAGGCCACTCTTGCTCTGGGGCCCTGCTACCAGAGTCAGGAGAACGAGGCCTTTGAGAGCCGGACTCCTGGGGCTCAACCCCAGGCCCGTCGCTGCCCGTCAGCGTGACCCTGGGCAAGTCACTTAACGTGTCTGTGTCTCAGGCTCCTCTCTGGAAGCAGGTGAATCATAAAAAAAGCAGGTGAGGGTTGGATCGTTCTAAACACCTTGCACATAGTAAGCGCTTGTGCTAACGTTTACAGCAGCTGGACCTGGGGCTCAGGCAAACACGGGCCCCTCAAACGCCACTCTCTCTGGGATGCTCCTTTGCAGGCCCATGTCTGCTCCATCCGTGAGCCCACGGCACCCACGGCCACCCCAGGAGCACTCTCCCCCGGGGCTGGATGGAAACCAACCCTCCTTGTGCGCATACAAGGGAGGGGGCTTCCGTGCATGTTTGTCCGCGGGACAAAAATGAGAGGGGACTTCTGAAACACAGAGTGGATTTCTTTGTTATTAAACAAAACATATTAAAAAAAAATGTGACCCTTCACAGCTACTGCATTTTAGGCATAAAGGGTGTCTCTCCTATTACCGACTTCTTGTATTAAATTGCATGAAATAATCTTTAGTGGGTTGATTTGTACAGACTTCCTCCATATATTTTTTCCTAATAATGAAACAAGGAGAAAAAACAATCAGCAAATGCCTGGTTTCCTAAATATTCTACTTTTTGAATATATATATATATATATATATATATATATATATGTATTTGTTCATCCCATCTGACACCCCTCAGATCATCTCTAGTGCTCCTTTGGGGCCCCCAGTAGCTGTGACTGGCCAACAGTGGATCCACCGGGAAACAGACACCTGATTGCAGAACATACCAGTGGGTCTCTGCCAAGTTCAAGCCCAAAACTTGATGAACAAGACAGATAAGTAAATAATGTGTTTTTTAACAAGTTCACCTATGGATCCGCATTTGGCATTTTCTGTAGGCGAAACTCGGAATGACTTTTGGGGTCTGTCAGTGTGACAGAGAGACTCCAGCTCGCCCTTGGCAGCCTGGAAGGCCCCCGATGCACTGGGCAGCTGCCACCGTCCTCCCACCATGTCTGAGCCACATAGTCTCCTGGGAAAAGCCTTCTGACTCCCCCAGGCCCACCCAGTGCCCTCCCCTGGGGCTCCCAGTGCCCTCTGTGTTCTCCATCACCAGCCCCCACGTCTGAGCCACTGGGGGTCGCTAGTGTCTCCATGAGCACCTCCCAGGGTGGGTCACCTGGTCATGTGGGGACCAGTGGTTTCTAAGCACTTAATTTCTGGCCTGTGACTCTCATACCTTCTCCCCTTCCTGTTTGAATTCTATACCAGGAGTCCGTGCTGCCCAAGCCGCTGCTGCTGCGGGGCCTCCCGGGGTATCCACAGCCCCGGCGCTGGGCCTCTGGGCGGGAAAGACTTGGGGAGGGTGGACCCGCACAGCCGGCCCCGACCCTCCCCACCACTCAGCCGGATCTCTCCGCTCCGGCGCCGCACCTGCTCCCCCGAACACAGCCTCCCCTCCCCCGGCCCCTTCGCCCCGGCCCTCACCGCACGCGCTGCTCCTTGGCCAGGCTGAGGTTGCTGCAGTCCAGAGCCCTGCGCAGGTCGCGCCGTTGGCGCTGCTGCTGGCGCTCTGAGAGCAGAGCGGCGCGCGCCATCTGTACCCTCCGACGGTCCCAGTCCATGTCCCGCTGCCGCTCTTCCTCCTGAAGCCTCTGGAGGGAGGAGAGGTGACTCACCACCCCAGACCCAGAAGAGATCCAGGGAATCATCTAGGAGACTCTTGGCCTCTCCCTTCACAGCTGGGGAAACTGAGGCTCAGGGGGGCAGGTGGGCGAGCAACATGGTGCAGGAAATCAGAGCAGACCACCCCACCTGCCACCGATGCAGGTGGCCCAGCGGCTTCCCACACTTGGAAGGTGTCAGGCGGCCCTCTGAGGCCTGCAGGGACAGCAGAGATGGTCCCGACAGCAGCTGCCAGGGCAGGGCTCCGAACGCAGGGCCTCCCACCCGGGACACTACTAGTGGGACGTGCTTTCAAGCACTGGGATCACCTGGTCACTTCTAGAACACACCGAAGGGACGCCCCACCCGACAATGGTCTCATGATCTTGGGGGTGAATTTCTGCATCTCAGCTCACTCCCCATGGCCTTCCAGATCCCCTACAAAAACCACTGAGCCTTAGGAGGGGAAACCGATTAATGCAGAGGGAAGGGGTCACTTCCCGACCCTGAGTAGTTTTATCAGCCGTCCTGAGCAAAAAGCAGCAAAAGCGGGTGGGGGCTGGGTCTGGGGACGAGCACGTGTCCTCCTGTCCACAGGTTTTAGGGCAGGGCTCCCAGCCACCCAGTGAACAGGGCTGGAGTGTCCAGTGGCCCTGCAGTCCCGGGTCCACAGGCCACCAGGCTGGCAGAGGCCCCTGTCCCCCACCCAGGGACTGAGCCGAGGCTGATGCCTGTTTTGTCACCTACAGGACGAGTCATTTTACCTGTCTATACCTCTGTTTCCCTTCCTGTAAACTGAGGCTGCTCGCAGTTGCCCTGAGGCACAACACAAGATGCTTTCGGGAAGAACACAGGAGGCCACGGGGACGAACCTGCCTCGGACTCGGAGACGGGCAACCTAACCGCCCTGTGCATGATCTCAGTTTTCCAAACCGGCTCCCCGCGTGGAAGAGGGGACGGGGTGGGCGGGGGAGGAGGCCCTGGGGAGGGGCTACAAGCTGGGGGAAGGGGAGTATTCATGAGTGCTGAGACCTGTTGTAGGCGTTTTCCTCCTTTGTGTTTCTCTGTCTTAACTTCCTACGAAATTGAAAATCAGATAAAAATGCTGCTCTCGGGACAGATGGGCGACCTTCCCTGCCAGACGGCCGGGCGGAATCGCAGGAGTGAAGGACAGAGCAGGGCCTTGCGAGGGGGACCGATACTCCCGAATCCAGTGCCAACCTCGGGGCTCTTCCCACGTTAGGCTGCTCCCCTGCCTCAGCCTGGCTGCCCCACTCCCTCAGTCCCCGCTGCCTCTCCCACGCACTTGACCTTCTGGGCCTGGAGGAGAGCAGGCAGGGGAGCCGTCCCACCTGCTCCTCATTCGCTGAGCCAGGTTGCTGTCCCTCCCTCTGTACTCGCCTGACATGGCACCTGTCACCCCACCACAGGTGGTCGTCCGCTGCCCTGCCCATCCTGCAGGCGGGAGAACTTGCCTTTCCCTGGCTTCTCAGCCATCCCCCCTCCTAAAGACCAGGTGCTGACCTATCCGTTGTCACCCCGGGCACAGCCTACCATTGACCCTTGGACTTCAGCGGGCATCAGAACCCCTGGGGGGGCTTTCTCAGCCGCACACTCTGGCCCCTGCTCCAGGAGGTCTGGGGTGGGGCCTGAGAATCTGCATTTCTCCCAAGTTCCTAGGCCATGCCGATGCTGCTGGTCCAGAGACCCCACTCTGAGGACTTATGCGCCCCCCCCGTCATTACCAAGAATGCCAGCCTCCCGACTGTCCCCACCTCCAAGTGTCCTGATCCCCACCACTCTGGCCTGCCTCTTCTGCCCTCTCTCCGGTCCCCTGATTGTAACAGTTATTCCGCCCCTCACCCCACGCCAGGCCCTCCCACCCAAGGACCACACACTTTCCACCGTCCTGGCGCTCTTTGTGTCTTCATGTCCCTCCTTGCTCAGCCCAGTGTCCATGGCTGACATCCCCTGGCAGACGCCCTCAGTGCCCTTGAAACTCTCACTTAGTCAGACCTGGCAGGCAGGCCCTGAGCTTGGTCCCCTTACAGCGGGCCGTGGCCAGGAACAGCACTGACTGCACTCACTGGGGATGCTTCAAGTTCATGACCTCCAGCCTCCGGGGGGCCCCTGGCTCTGCCTGGCCATCCTGCCCTCTTACCAGAGGCCATTCCTTTCCAGCTTTCCTAAAGGACCGTTAGCACTTGGTTCTCTGTCCTCAAATCCCCAATTGGACCCCCTCAGCCTCCACGGCTGACCTCCCTTCCTGTTCCCCAGGAAAGAGGGTCTCCACAAGCTGCCCTGCCCCCACAGTCAAAGATGGTTGGCCTGGACTCCCACCCACCCCAAGCCTCAGCTAGTGCTCCCACAGCCTTGTGCTCCTGACACCCAGGACACAGGTTCCAGCAAGTTCCTGCTAGCGTCAATTTCCCTCTCTCTACTGTGTCATCCTCATGGAATGACAAGTATGTTGTTATTTCTATAATCTGAAAAACCAAACAACTTTCTCTTGACCCCGTGTCCCCACCAGCTACCACCCCCTTTCCCTGCACCCTTAAGAGCAAAACACTTTGAAAGTGTCTGTACCTGTGGTCTCTGCTTCCTTCCTGCCTGTGACCTTTGGTCACCCACACCCCTCCTCCAAGGATGCTCCAGATAGAGGCTCCAGGGACTGGCACCTGGGGATGGCATTCAGCCACAGCGGCCTAGTGACAGTGTCTGACCCAAGGGCTCCCCTTGCTGGGCTCCTCCTTCCTCTCTGACTTCCCCTTCTCCAGCCCCTTCACTCTTCATAAACCATGGTAGGGGTGTGGCCTGTCCCATGACTCCTTGGATCCCTTCTCTCTGTCTTCATTCACTCCCTGCGTGGCCTTAGTCGGGTTCACTGCTTTAAATGCTGTCTATGTGGCTGCATCTCTATGCCTTTGCCAGCTGGGACCTTGTTCTGAACTCCAGCTGCTGGCTTTTCTTGGAGGTTGTGGCAGACAGTAGTACTTGCCTCCCTGTCGCCATTTTTCTTCCCTCCTTAGTAAAACAACTGCCAGCCCCTTACTGCCTAGAATAAACTCCACCTTTCCTGGTCTTCTTTACAATTTGGGGCAACCCTGTGACTAAGTGTTATCTAAGGGAATTTGAGTGGAAGTGTTCCCTGAAATTTTGAGAAGTGTCCTTAGAGTGTTCTTCCTCACTCCTTCTTCCTGCTAGATGGGATATGCATGTGATGACTGGAGCTCAAGCAGCCATCTTGTACTAGGAAGTGGGAGTCAGTTGCCAAGGATGGCAAAACATTAGTCAGTGACCATGGGGCTGCCATACCAGTCCTGGACTATCTTCCTAAGGATTTGGTCTACATGCAAGAGATAAGTTCTATTTTATTTAAGATGCTGTTAGGGTTTTCTGCCACGATCAGGCACAGAATCCCAACAGATACAGATAACCTAATCATTGCACATATAACATATCCAAAGTTGCACTTGTGACTTGTGACTTTGACTCCACCTGCCACCCTGCTCCTCCCATCATCATCCTATCTCAGTAAATGCCAATTCCATCCTTCTCACTGCTCAGGCCTTCTGAGTGATCCTTCCTCCTCTGGGTCTCATATGCCACACCCAACACTTCAGCCAATCCTGTTCGCTCCACGTTCAGAATAAATCCAGAATCCAACCACTTCTCAGCACCCTTGCTGCCAGTGCCCTGGCCCCAGCCAGCACCATCACCTTGACCACTGCAACATCCTCCCCAATGATCTCTCTCCTCCCCCCACCCCAATCCATCCTTCCTCAACATTGCTGTGGGAGACAGCCTGCTAAGTGTAAGTCAGAGCATGTCACTCCTCTGCTCAAAACCCTCCAGAGCTTCCCATCACAGTCACAGAAAAAGCCAAGTCTTCCCTGTGGACTGCCAAGGCCTTGATCTTCCACCACCCAGACCTCCTCCTGCACCTGTCCTCACTCCACTCCAGCCACCTGGCTCCTCACTCTTCCCTGAACAGGTCAAGCTGGTCCTGCCTCAAGGCCTTTGCCCTTGAATCTTGCCCTGCCTGGTGGTCCCTCCCCAGATATTTGCATCCTCCATTCCCTTGGCTCAGCCTTACTTCCCAAGCACATCACCCATGTGTGGGGTTATTTGGCTGTCGTCTCCGCCCACCCACCCAGAACATAAATTCCTCAAAGAGTTCTTCTACGGAGAAGTAGAGCAGCAGCTATGACTAGATGCTGGAGGAAGGCAGCCGGGGGCCCAGGGCTATGTCTGCGGGCTCTGTGAGAAGGGGAGGGGGGCGCGCACCAGCTTCTCCTGGACTTGCTGCTTCTGGACCAAGCGGATCTGCTCCAGCTGCTCCTCGGTCATGCCCTTCCAGCGGTCAGGGACCACGCGGTGTGACCCGAAGGAGCTGGCTGCCTGCTGCGGGTTCTCTGAGAGCAGGTCTCCACGCAGCAGGTTGGAGATCTCAGCCAGGCTGTCTTCTTGTTCCTGTTTCTTCTCTCGGATTTTCCTTTCCAGTGACTCGGTGGCCTGCGTAGAGGAAGACAATAAGGAAGATGCCTTGAGTGACCCCATGGGGATTGAGGTACAGGTGGGCACATCTCCCTGCAAGCCTTTGATGGAAGAAGCGTTTGCTAAAGTGCACGTGGGACAGGCGGGGGCAGAGACTCCTCAGGCACGGATGCAGGGGACCATGTGCCTGGATGGACCCCGGGTGCCTGGATGCCAGTGGGTGCGTAGTCTAGGCTGAGGGACTCCCCACCTGTTGCTTTTGAGTGTGAGAACCGCAGGTGTTTGCACTGATTTGCCAAAGCAGGGAGCTGCCTCCCAGGTTAGGCCGCCATCTCCCATTGTCTTGGCTTTACTCACCTCGGGGCAGGGCTCTGCACTCCTCCCAGTGCCGGTCACCCAGACAGAGTGATTCACAACAGCGGTGACTTTTTTTTTTTTTTTTAAGATTTATTTATTTATTTTAGAGAGCGCGTGCACGGGCATAAGCAGGAAGCAGAGGGAGAGAGAATTTCAAGCAGGCTCCCCGCTGAGCAGGGAGCCCCATGTGGAGCTCAATTCCAGGACCCTGAGGTCATGACCTGAGCCAAAACCAAAACCTGGACACTCAATCAACTGAGCTACCAGGCTCCCCCAGACTGAGATTTGGGAAGTGTTTCCCACCCACCCCAGCATGAGTTAGCCCACTCTGACATAGGTGGGTGTCATCATTACCCCCATTCTACAGATGACAAGACTGAGACTTGGGTGGCTTTTCCCAGGCGGCAGACAAGAGCCTGGTCTTGTGCCCGCACAGCTGGGCTCCAGGCCCTGCCCCCGACGCTGACACCACAACATTCGTGTAACAAAAGCCCACCCTCACCTCCTGGAGGGAAACTCCCCAGGGTGCTCTGGGCGTGTCCTCAGCCCCCAGTTGGAGCCTGGGACATACCTGGCTCTTGTTGAATTCTTTCACGGCTGCGCAAACTGCCTTTCTGGTGGTGCTTTCCAGATTCTGCAAATGCTTGGCTGTTTCATCAAACTGCAGCCTTGTCTTCAAGCAGAGATCCTCTGCAAAGGAAGCAAAATGCGGCCAAACCTTGATGCGCAGCCCGGCTCCTTCCCAGGTGTGCAGAGCAGAGCGTCTCTTCTCCTGTGCTTATGCACAGAGCAGGGGATTCAGATAAAACTCTTGGGTGCAGGCACGGGGTGTTAGTGTTCCTAGTGGGGATCCCTGATGTCAGCTGTGGTCCATCACCCTCAAAATGGGCAAGGGAGCTCTGCCGGGGCACCCAAGGGGGCTCCCCGGAGGAGGGGTGTTGGAGGTGGGGGAGATAGCCATGCAATCACAGTAGGACTAAAGATGTAGTGTCAGACAGGAGCAGGCTGCCATCCCCACCCAGACGCTTTCTAGCTCTGTGAACCTGAACTATGACGGGGCCTTTCTGAGCCTCCAGCCCTCTTCGGGGAGGCGGGACAACTCCTACACTGCACGCTGGTTACATCTTTTTAAGAAGTCGCTGATCACAAGTTTCTTCACGTGGTGTTGGTGGTCCATGGTGTCCTCATTATCTCCAAAAACAAAGACCAAACTCTAGTGGCGAGTTAGTGGCCTCTGCTCCCCTTGAGCTTTGGCTGCCCCGCGTGCTGGTTTATGTGCTCGGTTGGCCCAGGAGCACACACGGACTGTGTGCTTTGCCGGGCACGTAGTGCACAGTGGTGGGTGAGACATCCAGGGCTCTTCCCGCCTTCTTGGAACTTACTGTCAGGAGACGAGCAAGGTCATAAACAAGTTAACCCTGAAATATACCTATGAAAGCACATTGCCTTAGTACAAAGGAGGGAAAGGGGGGAGAGCAGGTGCAAAGGGTCTGATGGGATTTGCCAGGATCCAGAAGGGAAAGGTAGCCAAGAGGCCGGAATGGAGCGAGTGAGGTAGGAGCCATAGGTGACACGGGGTGGAGTTGGGGGGATGCTGAGCAGGAGCCCCAGCATGCAGGGCCTTGTAGGCTACAGAGGATTTTGCATTTTGTTCCATATGCAATGGGAAGCCACCGGATGGTATTAAGCTGGGATGGAGGGAGTGGTGGTGACATTGTCCAACTTGACATTGTTTAGAAAGTAGCACTCTGACTACTATGTCGAGACGAGACTGGAAAGGACAAGAAAGAAAATGAAGGACAGTTAGAAAGCCCTTGGTGTGGTCCCTCCAGGTGAAAAAAGGCAGTGGCTTGGGTCACCGTGGTGACAGCAGGGATGGGAGAAACGGACAATTCCAGATACAACACGGGGTAGAAGCTGAGGGAGGCCTGGAGACAGGGGTGCTTCAAGGAGGACTCCCAGGTTTGTGGGTTGACTAGGACAGAGGTGTCATTCACTGAGGGGAGGAGAGTGGAGGAGGAACAGAGCCAAAGAGAAATTATGGTTACTTTCCAGAATATTCTGAGGTGCCTGGGGCGATGTCCAGGGGTCAGTTCAAGGAGCAAGACCAAGGCTGAGACAAAAGCTCTCAGTCAGAGATGGAAAAGTGGAGCACCTGGGAAGTGGGTGAGATTTTTTTTTTTGAAAGGCCTATAAATGCATGTTTCAATAGGTATCTATGTGCTAAGAACTAAAGAGAGAGCAGTGAATTAAAGAGACAAATCTCCTGCCTTCGCTGAGTTGGGGATGGGATCCTGGGGAGGGACGACAAATACGTAACTGTATAGTATGTCAGTAATGAGTGCTGTGGAGACGTGGATACAAGAGTGCAGTGATGGGGGAAGGTAGAGGGTTGACATTTAAAATGGTGGTCATGGAGACTTCTCCGATGACATTTTGGCAAAGTCCTGAAGAAGGATATGGGGCAGAACATGCAGCTATATGGGGAAATGTTTCCAGGCAGATGAAACAGTTGGTACAAAGGCCTTGAGGCAGAATGAACCTGATGCCCTTACCATTCTAAGCAAGGCAGCCAGCGCAGCAAGGCTGGGGTGAGTGAAAGGCAGTGTGTTGGGGGTTCAGTCCAGACTGGGAAAACTTTATTGGTCCTTAAAATGAATCTGGCTTTTATTCTGAGTGAAATGAGAAGCTATTGGAAGGTTTTGAGCCAAAGATCTAGCTTAATTTTTAGCAGGGCCATTCTGTTCGTTGGATTGAGGAAAGATTACAGAGGGACAAGGGCAGAAGCAGGGAGACCTCTTAGAGGCTACTGGTGTTGATAGCTTGGTCCAGAATGGTCATCGTAGGGGTGAAGGGAGGTAGTTGCCATATGAGATGATTTGCTGCTGGAGGTGGATGCAACATTTGAGAGAAAGGAAGGAATCAAGATGCCTTGGGGTTGGGGCCTGACCAGCTAGAACCGTGAAGTTCCCATTGACAGAGGTGGACGGTCAGCTTTGGGGGGCAGGTGAGTGCGTCTTGTATTGACATTGATAACCTTATCAGACACCTGAGAGCAGATAGCTGCTGGAAGGTGACTGGATGTATGTGTCTGGATTCCGGGAAGAGTCCAGGCTGGAGATGTAAATTTGGGGAATGGTGGCCTATGGTGGGATTTAAAGCCATAGGATGAGCTACAATCACCAAGGGGATGAGTGTGGTTGGGAGAGGAGGGGTGCAGAGGGTCCTGGTGAGCAACGGCATGGGAGGTTTGGAAGGAGAGGAGAAACCAGTGAAGGGCCTGGGGAGGAGCGCAGGGCGGAGGCTGTGTCCTGGAAGCCAGTGGGAAGGGAGTGTTCCCAGGAGGAGGAAGCGGTCAGGATGGCACGGGCTGTGGATAAAGGAGAGGTCTGAAAACCCAGCTGGGGTGGGGCAGCATGGAGGTCCCGGTGATGGTTCGGGACAGGCCAGGCAGGTTCGGGACAGGGCGAGGGCAGAAGTGTGGTAGGGGTGGGCCATCTGGGGAGACGTCGCTCCTGGAGAGCAGAGCAGGAAGAGAAGGGGGTGAGGCTGTGAGGAGGTCCAGCTGCCCAGGAAGCCTGCAGGGAAACCACCAGCCAGGCAAGGTGGGGGCCTCGCTCCCTGTCACAGCTCCTATTCGGTCTTCACCAAAGCACTTCTTTGTCCTGTCCCCTCGCCGGCACGTGCACAAGAGCAGTGACACTCTCCTCTGGGTTGCCGCATCTTCCTGGCACGAGAAGTCACCAGAGATTGGAAGCTGCTGGGAGCCACGCACAGAGACTCTGGTAAAGCAGAAACCACCGGAGTGCTGGCAGGATGTCCTGGACTTACAGTGCCCTCCAGGAGAGAGGCTGTTTCTGGCCTTGGAGGCTCTTCCAGAGAGGATCTCTGGGCCTGGAGGGTCCTGGGGAGGGCATGCGATGACGGCGCCCTTGGCTGCACCGCTCGGACCCTGTAGGGAGTCTAGCGCAGCCCTTATCAGCCCTAGCAGCATTGGTGTCTTCCCAGCAGACTATAAGCATGCCGAGGGTAGTGCGCATGGCACTCTGAGTTACGGGGCACCCCAGCACCCAGCTGGAGCCCGGGCTCGGGGTCCAAGCTCAGAGCCACTTTTCTACATGACTAACATATGACCGAAGACATTTAAGTCCTCAAATGCCGGCTGATACTGGTCAACACAGCACATTGGTAAGACTTAAGAGACAAAATGAAGCTGGGGAAAAGACCAGGGGGCTGGGCTGCTGAAGAGTTTTCAGAGCAATTTGTCCTCCTTGTTGCATTACCTGCACTTCTGTGCTGGGCACGGGCATTCTCCCACTCCCTCTGCTGCTGCAAGGACCATTCTCGGTTTTGTTCCTCCTGGAATTTCTTCCTCTCGCGGAAGTTTAAATCCTCTCCCATGAATCTCTGCATTCCTGATACCGTATTCCGGATATCGTTATCCAACTGCCTAGCTGGAAGGTCTTTCCTAAGGGCTAGGGGGTCTGATAGGTCAAATTCACGGCGCGTTTCTGGCCTCTGGAAGTGCTGCTGGAACTCATTGATGGCTTTACAGAGGCTTTTCTTATCCCTCCTTTCCCGGCCTTCTAATATGCACGTGATTTTGTCATTGTGCCTCATTTCAGCAGCTAGAAGAAATAGAACATATCCATAAAATTAAGGTTTGGAGAAAAAAAATTGAATCTGCTTTAAAAATTAATTTTTGGTGATTCTAAAAGTAATATAAGCCTCTGAAAAGGTAACACAAGCATCAAAGAATTAGTATTCTGAATATATAAAGAATACCTACAAATCAGTTTAAAAAACCAAACAGGGACGCCTGGGTGGCACAGTTGTTTAAGGAACTGACTCTTGATTTGGGCTCAGATCATGACTGATCACGTCAGGAGTTAGGATCTGTTCTCCATGAGAACCCTGTTTAAGATTCTCCCCCTCCCTTTGCCCCTCCCCCTCCACGCCTGCACACACACTCTCTCTCTCAAAACAAGCAAACAAACAAACAAAAACACCAAAAAATCAAAGGAAAAAGTGGGCCAAGAAAAGGATCAGGCAAATCACTATAAAGAAACCGAAATGATCACTAGGCTTCTGAAAAGATGGCTGGCCTTACAAGATGGGAACCATCTGATAAATTGGCAAAATATTTAAAATGTAAATAACAGCATATATTAGTAAGGACATTAGTAAGGATAGTAAGGAGACAAGAGTTCTCATTCACTGCTTGGGAGAGTGCAACTTGGTACACTTGTAACTTTGAAAAGCAAGTTGTCGATATCTCGTAAAACTGAAAACACGCACACACAATGACAGTTCCACTCCTAGGTATCTCTCACCTGTGTGTACTAGGGACACAAGGCATGCCTGGTCGTTGCAGCATTGTTTGGAAAAAGTCTAAATCAGCCATGAGTAAGGGAATGAATAAAGAAATAGTGGCTAATTCATACAACAAAATACCAAAGATAATTAAAATGAACATTCTACATGCAGATCACTGATTAATTTTTTTTTAATTTTTTAAAGATTTTATGTATTTGTCAGAGAGAGAGAGAGAGAGAGAGCACAAGCAGTGGGAGCAGCAGGCAGAGGGAGAAGCAGGCTCCCCATCGAGCAAGGAGACTAACTCAGGGCTCGATCCCAGAACCTGGGGATCATGACCTGAGCTATAGGCAGATGCTTAACCGACAGAGTCACCCAGGTGTCCCTATTTTTATTATTTTTTTAAGATTTTATTTATTTGAGAGAGGGAGAGACAGATTGTGCAAGTGAGGGGGAGGGGCAGAGGGAGAGGAAGAGAAGGTACACTGAGAAGCGAGGAGCCCGACGACAAAGGCTGATCCCAGGAACCTGAGATCTTGACCTGAGCCAAAATCAAGGGTCGGTCACTGAACTGACTGAGACACCCAGGCACCCCATGACTGATTAATTTTAAAAATATGTTGAATAAAAAAAATTCCAAAGGATCCATTCAATGTATTTGTGTAAGATTTAGGCGAAATTTTAAAACACCCACAAAAAATTTTATGTCATCATGGATATGTACATAAATAGTACAATATTATAAGAAACATGCATGGAAATGATGTACCTGTCTGAGGAGGGAGGAAAAGGGAAGATGAGGTGGGGGAGAGCTCTATCTATCTATCTATCTATCTATAGCTATACCTACACATATGTAGGGCTTATATATATTTATGTATACATTTAAACATTTATACATTTTATATATAATTATAGCATTTATTTATCTATAGCTATACATACACATACATACATATGTAGCATTTAATTCTCAAAAATAATTTTTTTTAAGATTTTATTTATTTGACAGAGAGAGACCACAAGTAGGCAGAGAGGCAGGCAGAGAGAGAGAGGAGGAAGCAGGCTCCCTGCCGAGCAGAGAGCCCGATGTGGGGCCTGATCCCAGGACTCTGAGATCATGACCTGAGCCAAAGGCAGAGGCTCAACTCACTGAGCCCACCCAGGCACCCCCGAAAAGAATTCTTAAAAATAAGATATCTAAAGCCAGTTTGGCAAAATATTAACATCTAATCTGGTAGGGGGGTATGTATGTGCCTGTCCTATTTTTCTTGTAAGTTTGAATTATTTTTAAACATGACACAAAAAAAGGTGAACTGTTCAGAAACTAGAGAAGAAAATAAACTTCACTCATATTCTATCACTCCAACATCACCACTGCTTACATTCTGGTATACTTTCCTTCTGTCTTTTTCTAAGCTTATTTTTAAAAATATATTCTAACATTTAGTTGATAGCCCATGGTATATACAGTTTTGCATCCTGCTTTTTTCTATTTAAAAAATCCTTATGCGGGTGCCTGGGTGGCTCAGTCAGTTGAGTGTCTCTTGATTTGGGCTCAGGTCATGATCTCATGGTCATGAGATTGAGCCCCATGTTGGGCTCCACAATGTGTGCGGAGTCTGCTTGAGATTCTCTCCCTCTGCCCCTCCCCCTGCCCTTGGTCTTACTCTCTGTCAAATAAGTGAAGAAATATTTTTTAAAAAATAAAAAACCCTTATGGTACTTAAAAAAAAAATAAGCCGGCATTGTTGCACCTGATGTGGGAAATGAATTCTATTTGAAATTTTTATCTCTGCTAGCACGCTCTCACATCCAGCTCTGAGTAGATGCAGGGGTGTGAGCTAAGAGGGTGTGCATGTCATTTAGTGCAAGCATCTGTCCCCAGGAGAAGGTCTGGAACTTTTGTGCAGAGAATGGTGTGTGTTTAGGGTTTTTCATATCCAGTTTTTAAAGAAAACCAATAAAAACATACATTTACCTTCAAAATATATTTCCTACACTGACATAGAATTCAATAGCTGTTTGCCTTTTAAGAGAGAGAGAATCAGCACATTAATTGAGCACAGGCAACTGTGAAGTTTTAAGAGGAGGAGGAGTGTGAAAATGACAAGTTTTACATATTTGAAACATGAGGACTGAATTCTAGAGGTACACGGCCCTAACCTGCTGGGCAGGCTTCAGGAAATGCTCACCAAAAGTTTCATGCCTAGCTTTTTCAGTTGCTTCTTTTATTTTCTGGTCATGAACCTGAAGATCCCAGGCTTCTGTGTCTCCCTGGGAATGGAAAACAAGGGGAGACGAGTTACAGCCAGATCATTTTAGTCCGACGATGACCATCCTACTACCTCTTTACAGCCTTGTTCCACTGTTAACCGGTCGTCTTAGGTACACATCAGGTCTTTTCATACCTGGATGCCTTTGTTTATAGCTGGATCTTCAGCCTGTCCCCAGAGCTGCTTTCTCCCCTTGTCCTAGTTAACAGATATCTTCAGAATACAGCTTAGACAACACCTCCTCTGGGAAGCCCTCTCTGACTTCCTCTCCTGGCCCCAGTCTGTGCTCCCCTGACACCCTGAGCGCCCCTCCCTCACAGCACTGGTGCCGCTGCATAGTCATGCGACAATGCCTGCCTCTCCTCTCCCCCGTCGGCCATGAACTCTGCAAGGCCAGGCAGTGATTGCCCTGTTCCCCATTTCCTGGGACCAGCTTAGGCTTGCCACAAAGCAGGAAGGCCACCGGCATTTGTCCGATGGATGGATTGGAAGGAGCCCCCGACGACGTAGAAAATCTGGCTCAGAGAAAGGAGACCCGCGCGCTCCGGCCTCTGCGGAGCCGCCCCGGCGGGCAAGCCCCTCCCTGCTGCAGGGCTCCGGGCGCCTCTCGGCCGGTGAGAGCGAGCAGAAAGGTCTGCGAAGGCCTTTCCCGCCCTCGGCGGTCGGTACCATGAGCCAGTCTTCCCCAGCACCGGCGGCGCGGCTCGCGGCTGCGCCCGGATCAGCGGCTCCGGGGCGCGGGTTCGCCTCCGCCGTCCCGCCGCCAGCCTCCCTCGCCACCTCCCCGCACGCGCCGCCCCGGCCTGGGGACCTCACCCCCATGATCCTGCTCCTGGCGTCGAAGATCCGTTTCTGCCGGCACAGCTCGCTGTGCCTCCTCCTGCCCAGAGCCAAGGACTGCTCCAGGTCCCTGGGCTGCGCCAGCGCCATGACTGGAAGCGGCGAAGAGCCCCTAAGGAGCTTTTAAGGCGCGCGAGATGAAAAAGGGACACAAATAAAACTAGCTGTGGCCTAAGCGAGGCTGGTTCGGCGGCGAGCGGCGCGGGTTCCTCAGCTCTCTGCGCGGCTTTCTGCTGCCTCGCGGGGCGCGCGGGCCGGTTTCCTCGGAGACGCAAACAACCCGGTTGCTTAGGAACGGCGCGGCGCCCGCTGGGTTCTCGCCCTCCTCTCGCGAGACTCCGCGAAGCCCTTCCCGCGCTTTTCCTGCCGGCGGCGTGTGGAGAAGCCGCTTGAGGCGCGGAGGGCGCAGCCATGGGCCACCTGGAGGTGCTGCTCGTGGAGAACTTTAAGTCGTGGCGGGGCCGCCAGGTCATCGGCCCTTTCAGGAGGTTCACCTGCATCGTCGGCCCCAACGGCTCCGGTAACTGGGACCCTGAACGCGTCTGCCCGCCCCGCCCGTCCAGGCCCCATTTTGCCCAAGGGGACGTGAGGGTGACCTCGCGTGTGGGACTCGAGCCGTTGCTGCCCACGGGCCTCGGCCAGCCTCACCCCTTCACCCCCACCCGCCCTCCGCCGCCGGACCGAGACCCTCCCCCTCCTCGGGACCCTGACCTTGACCCTCTGCCCTCGCCGCCTGGGCCCCGCCTCGGCCCTCCGCCCCCGGGTCCACTCTCGCCTGGACCACAGACCCCTACTCTCTCCGCCGCTTGGACCCAACCTCCTCTCTCCAGCCCCCGGCCCTCCGCAGCCCGTACCCCGGAACCCGACCCTCCCCCTCTAGCCCCGACTCCAGCCTCTGCCTCGGCCGCCAGCTGCCGGTCCTTGGCCGCCGCAGCCCAGAGCCCGACCTTCGGCCGCCGCCCCCGTCCCCCGCCCCCGTCCCCAGTCCTCCCGCGCCCGACCCTCACCCTCGGCCACCCGGCCCTCCGTCGCCCGCAGGTGCCTGCCCTCCCTCTCTGCCCAGCTCCCAGAAGCCCACCTTTGCCCACTGACCCTCGACGCCCCCCCCAACCCCCGCGCCAGCCCTCCGGGGCCCAGACCGAGACCCCGACCCTCGCCCTCCAGCGCCCGGTGTTTGTCCCAGGTGCCTGCCCTCACCCTCTGCCCCCCGCCCCTCACCTTCAGCTGCCCGGCCCTTCGCCGCCAGGTGCCCAGCCATGCCTTCTGCCCGACCCCCGGCCCTCTGGCACCTGGACCCTGGCCCTCGCCCTCCAACCCCCGTACTCAGCCCTCCCCCGCCAGGTGCCCACCCTTGCCCTGTGCGGCTGGGCCCCGACCCTCCTCCACACCCAGCCCCAGGTCAGCCCAGGACCGTCCTCTCCTTTGCCCTGGCTCCCCGGGCTTTGCCGGTTTCTCCTCCGCGCCGAGCCCTAGTCCCCTCTCGTCAGGGGCGCAGTTGTCCTTATAAAGCAGACCCAGGATTCCGAACTCAGTGACATGAGACCGCTTGTTTCCCCTGGCTGCTTACGGGGCACCAGGCAAAGCGCAAGCCACAAAGAACACGGTCGAGCAGGAGGTAGGAAGTGACCCTGCCCGTCCTGAAGCCATTCTGCGCGTCCCCGGTTGAGATAAGGCCCCAGTCAGGGTCAGCGCCGGGCGCTTCCGGTTCACGGTGTGCAGGCAGCGAGGGGTCTCTGTTCCTTTGGAAGATCAGCCGGCAGAGCCTTCCCCACTGCCTCTTCCAAGTGGTCAGGCACGGAGGGGCTGGTGTCTTAGGAGTCCCTCTTTGTAAAGGGATTTCATCAGTCCTGGGCCTTTGCAGACCTCCTGTTTCTGCTTGCCATGGGTTCTGAGCGTGTCATGAGCTGGGGCAGGTCTAGGTGACATCTGGTCTCTGCGGCGATGCCCTTACCGGCTACTTCATTGCTTGACACAGGCCCCACTTGCCAGGAGTGACTCCGTCTTGCCTGCTGCACCTCTCGTCTCCATCCCCTTCCTTTTCTCCTCCAAAGACTAAGTGAGAGAGAGCTAAAGGAAATCATTGGTTTTAATGAGCCTGAACAACTGTTTGGATTCAAGGATATGCCTACGTAGGAATATTGTAATAATAACAGCATTCCTGGAGCTTTTACCAAGCTCCTGGCACCCCTGTTTCAGTGCTTATAGTGACTATTAGCCCACATTACAGTTTAGGAAACTGAACCTCAGAGGGTCCAGACGACTCTCCACAGTCACCCAGGAAGGGCAGAGCCTGCACTTGAGTTCAGGCCAGGCTCCCTACTGCGCTGGGGTGAGAATCCACAGACGTAATGGCCCCAGCAGGCAGAGGGCCTAAAATGAGAGTTACTGTGAGATTTTTCCTAACTCACATCTTTGTGGCTCTCTCAGGCCAGATTTCCTTGATTCTGTTATCAAAAAGACTTTGAAAAGATAAAGGTAAGAATGCAGGAGTATTTATAATAATCTCCACTCATTTCTCAGCTTAGTAGGTCCCGCCATCAGTAGATTCTCACCTTTGAGCTGGTGGTTATGTGAAGGGTTGCTCCGTTATATTTTGTTCTTCCAACAGTGTGATATTTTGAATGAATATTTGAGTAAAGTCTTAGACTGCAGTCAGCCTAAATTATTTGCCCACTGCTGTTTAAGATCCAGACAAAGTGGTGTTTTGAACTTTTTTAAACTAGTGCCAAACGTAAGTTTCAACCTTATTTCTTTTCTTAATTCAACAGTACATATCGTTATTAACAATATATCTTAAGGTTATCGTGAAAATGCCTTTATAATTTCTTCTTATCCCACATGCCCTGGAAGCTCCATTCCCCTCCTGAGTCTCACTGGTAACCCGGAGACTTTGCTTAGAACCATATAAAGCCAGTCATGGATTATTTCAACATTACCTTTATTATCTGACCCCACAAAAATTTCTGGTTTACTTATTGCTGAATTTTGCGTGGGCTATTCACATTGTCCCATACAATGGCCAAAACTCAGTGTAATGCTAATCCAGGACTAATTTAATATATTCATTTGAATATTTGTCAATAAATCATCTTTTTAAAAATCTTACAGAATTACTGGCACATTTAGGTAGATTTTATTAAACCAATCGATAATTTTCTGTTATACCCATTTTTCTCTTAAACTTTAATTTAGCTAGATGTGGTCATTCTTTTTGTAGTAATTTCCTATTGCTAGCACCTGTTAAAATTTGATATGTTCTCACTTGGTTTTAGTAAATCTAATGTTGGGGTTTTTTGTGGGTAGTGGAAAAATTTCATCTTTAATTCTAACCTTGATGTTTTTCCACTTAAATTTAACAAATTGTTTTTGTGTATATATAGTATTAGAAGCAGAAGAAAGATATATACAATGAGACAGCTTCTTCTCCCAAGACATTGGGAGTATAAGAAAATGGCACACTTGTTGAAATAGAAGGCCTGAGAACACAGTTTATGGAACTTTAAGCAAGGAAAATACTAGATCTGATATAGGGAGGTATGGACAGAAAGAGGTAAAGATAAGGAAAAATATTCTAGAGGAATTAGCATTTGAGCTTGCCCAAAGAATAAAGAGTACTTTTCTAGGGATTTGTGAGTCTATTCTGGGACAGTTATAGCCCAAATTGTCAAGAATGTAGTACACGTGTAGAGGAGCAATGGTGTGTAGTGTTGGAATCCTACTGGGTAAGTCCTGGCCAGAATGATGTATTTAGCTTTATGGAAAAAATAGTAGACTTTGGAGCAGGGACTGTGGAGCAGGGAAGTTCCACAAGTGTGCCTGAGCCTAAGGCTATCCTCTCCACGTGATTTATACCCTGCCCCTTCCTCGCTTCTTTGCTTCTATTATTTTCTTTCTCTTTTGGACTGTATCTTCCTCCCTTATTGGATAATTTTCATTGGCAATGATACATGCCTTATTAACACTCTCATGACATAGAGGGTAGCTAGCTATATGATAAGAAAATACAGTACGATGTTAACTGCAGAATTTAGTGGTAAACATACGGATGTTTACAGTGAAGTTCTTTCAACTTTCTTGTGTGTTTGGAAGTTTTATAATGAAATGTTTGGGGGAAAGCCCTTGAACTTCACTGTCTCTTTAGGCTGTTGCCCCATTTTATCAGTACAGGGAAACTCTCTGAACCATCCTCGGTGCTCTTGATTCAGTTTTCAGTCCCAAGTTCCACTGAAATGACACTTATCTAGGTCACCGTTGACTACATCTTGTAAGAGTCAGTAGCCAGTCTCCTTCCTCATCCTGTTTGACTTATCAGTGTTGTTTCATTCATGTAAAAATAATGGCATGCCTACTAAGTCCCATACACTGTTCTCATCAGTGAACAGATAAAAATCCCTTCCCATGTAGAACTTGAATTCAAGTGCAGAGAGATAGATAACAAAATATGAGAAGTGTATAGAATGTTAATGTCCAGTATTAAGTAGAAAAATAGAAACAGGAGGGCAATCAGAAATGCTGGGGTTGTTTTTAAAGAAGTTGGTCAAGGGAAGTTCTTGCTGTCTTGGTGGCATGGCAGGTCACATTTCCTCTCTCCCTTGAGCCTCTGCTCTTCTGACTTTGTATACCAAGTAGGTTTTCTCCTGTGTCACTGGCAAGCCCTCGGTTATTGGCAGCTTCTCCCCTAGGTTTCTTAAGCACTGGAGTCCTCCCACCCCCTGGAAATACATCCTCTGTCTGTGTATACCTTATTTTCTTTGCCCAGTTCCATAGCTTCAAACACCATCCTTATGCTGCTGACTTTCAAAATAATATGCCTAGGCTATAATATTCAGCTTTTTTTTTTTTTTAACTATTTTTAGTAGACATGTGAAATACCATAATCAGGGGTGCCTGGCTGGCTCAGTTGAGTTCAAGTCCCACATTGAGCATAGATATTACTTAAAAACAAAATCTTTAAAAAATACTATAATGAGAAAGTGTAGCAAATTTCCTCTCCCCTACTTCCTGCAGACAAACTTGTTCCTTCTGAGGTCTTACCTTCTCAGTAAGGGGCACCATTTACTCACTCAGACCAGATACCCAGAGTAATTCTTTATTCCTCCTTCTACACCCCACTTCCCTTGTCTAATCTTCTATAAATCCTAATAACACCATCTCTGAAATGTA